ACCAAACGGAGTATTGTATATCTCGTAATTGGCCAATCATATTTGAATATATAAATCATTGTTTACAGTTTGGGTTACAGAATCTAGTAAAGTCCCAAACTATCGGGTTTGGTTTACATCTCTAGTTCATGTACACAAAATATACGTATTACATTTTATTATTAGCTTGTCTTACAGTAAGTCAATGTTGCAAAATTTATGAAAACAAACAGTTAATAAAAAATAAGATCATAAGGCACTTGTACAACCATGTGTATAAATGTCGACTTATTTCTTATCGTTGCAATCTTTTAAAGTTTTGCATTGTAAGCATTCGCTGTCAGAAGAGGCTATCAGGGTTGACAATAGAGTCAATAGAGTTCAGGAGCTTTGAATGGAACTTAATAGACTACTTCATTGAACATGTATTCTGAATAAAACTTACAATTAACCGATAATTTTAATATAAATATTTAGGATACTCGAAGATTATTGAGATATTGTATATCATATCAATAACATCTGTGTTATCATCAAGAAAACATATATATTTATGTAACAATGCAACGTTAAATTTCTCACTCTTCACTATCGCTATTCTTGGGATGAAAATCCAAATTTAAGCTGTTGTTTATCAAATTTGAAAATTCGATATAATGATAATGTATTTTATACTGATACACAACATATCAGATATATAAAAGTGTAAAAAAACTAGTATAATTGCTTCTCTTGTTTTCCAACAAAAAATAAATTACAAAAGTTTTTGTTGCGGTTTTCTCTAATACCTTCCATTCGTCGAATCTTCCTTTTTTTTTTTTTTTTTTTTTGTACGATAAAAACAAATGGATGTTTTATTTTAATTACCTTTTTTTGTCATTTGTGCCTTAGTACGTATTTCATTATTTTGTTACGTTCCTTGTTAATTTTTGTCCCATTATAATGTAAGCGAATAAAGAAAATAAATATTTATATGAGATTCATCTATATTAATTAATATATGGTATACTATGTTTATTAGTTTATCTTATATTTATTAGTTTTTTTTATCTGATAACGATAATGACAGAGTTTTTTTTTATGTATATATAATTTTTTTATATAATTAGTGGTGTGGGGTTTCAGTTTTTTTGTGCATATGAGTTTTTATTTTTTATTTCTTTTATTTTTTACATTCATTCATTCATTCATTCATAATTCAAGTGCTAATTTAATCTACAACATACCATAAATAATAATTTAAAAAATGTCAAGTACTGCTCCACCCATTTATGATCATGGTGATATTGCTTGGGTGTTGGCCTCTTCGGCCTTAGTATTTATTATGGTTCCAGGTGTAGGATATTTCTATAGTGGTATGGCTCGTAGTAAGAATGCATTATCTCTTATTATGCTTAGTGTGTTATCAGTGGCCGTTGTATCTGTTCAGGTATTGTTTAAAAAGATTCTAAAGATTTCTTGATAATTTTTCTAAATAAATAACCAAATATTTATTTATATATATATATATATATATCGATACATGTAGTGGTGGTTATTTGGTTATAGTTTGACATTTGGTCCGTCACCGACCCATTTCATTGGAAATTTCGAACATGCTTTCATGATGGGCGTAAATAATGCAACAATTTCCAACGACATCACTACCGTTCCAATCAATGTATTTGCCATTTTCCAGTGTATGTTCGCCGCTATCACTCCCGCACTTGCCATCGGTTCTGCTGCTGAACGTGGTCGTATTATTCCTACGATTATCTTCATTTTTCTATGGACTACTTTAGTCTATGATGTGATTGCGTGTTGGACGTGGAACCCTAACGGTTGGGCTTCTAAATTAGGTGTTCTAGATTATGCTGGTGGTACCCCTGTACACATTTCATCTGGTTCTGCCGCTCTTGCCTATGCTTTAATTCTTGGTAAACGTAATGGTCATGGAACTGATGAATTTAAACCTCATAATGTTGCTAATGTTGTTCTTGGTACTTCCTTACTTTGGTTTGGTTGGTTTGGTTTTAATGGTGGTTCTGCTTTGGCAGCTAATGGACGTGCTGCTATGGCTTGTATCGTCACAAATTTGTCCGCTTCGGTAGGTGGACTTACTTGGTGTTTAATGGACTATCGTCTGGAAAAGAAACTATCTGCTCTGGGATTTTGTTCTGGTGCTGTAGCAGGTTTAGTAGCAATTACACCAGGTTCTGGTTATGTTGATTTTCCATCTGCTGTAGCTTTTGGTTTTCTTGGTGGTTTTGCTTGTAATATGGCCGTAAAACTTAAACATTTATTTGATTATGACGATGCTTTGGATGTGTTTGCTGTACATGCCGTTGGAGGTTTTGTTGGTAACCTTCTTACTGGTGTTTTTGCTTCACAATCAGTTATTCAAATGATTGATCCTAATGCACCTGGTGGTGGTGGATGGATAAACAGAAATTGGATGCAAGTAGTTTATCAACTTTCAGATTCCGTGGCTGGTATGTTATACTCATTTTCCGTAACTTATCTTATATTATGGATTATGGATAAGATTCCGGGACTTTCACTTCGTGTTGACCCAGAATCTGAAGCTCAGGGTCTTGATGAAACAGAATTAGGTGAACTTGCTTATTATCACATTGACAAATTTATTTCTTGTACAAAATTATCTTCTGAAAAAGTTTATGATGATGTCATGGATCATAAAAGTATTAATTGAAGATTTGTCAATGGAGATGATTATATAGTCAATGAAAAATAGATTTTTTTTTTATTAGTGATATAAATATTGGGCTTTAATCTCATTTGGCATTATATATAATTTCGTTAGAATCATTTGCATTGTTCTTTTAAATTTTAAAAAATATTATTGAGTGTTTCATTATTATTTTACATTGTCTCGTAGGAAATTTTCCTACGGATTTTTAAAAAGAAAAAAATATTATTTTTTGACAGATTTTATGTAAATCATAATATAAAGGTGTATAATATATATATGAGCTTTCTGCCAATATCACTTTTGGCAATAGATAGGCTAATTTGTATTTTTAAATTCTTCGTTATACTTGTGACTTTTTAATATATTTTGTGTGAACGATTAGGTATCTAACTTTAGCAAATTTGCCTGCGATTCTTAACGTTAAATGGTGTAAAGAATATATCGTTTTATGTTTTTAGATTAACTCTACAACGTCCTAAGTTCTGTTGTTATGAGATAACTTGCAGCTTTTTTCATTATTCAGTCATTAAGTCGGAGATTAAATATCAGGATCTAAGATCGGACCCTGATTTGAATCTAATAAATATAACGATAGGGACGATAGAGGCTCAAAATAAAGTTGCGAGCTACGATAGTATGTAGATCACATGACTGTGAAATAATTGTTGGCGATGCTGGAGTACTCGGATTCACCCTAGAATTTTACTAGCTCGCAACTTAGCGTTAGGTTTCACCCTGTTACAAATTTATTACATACAGCTCAAAATATTACGAACCTAATAATTTATAAAATAATTTTTTTTAAAAAAAAACTACTAAGGGTGTTCTCAATAAACTCACTCAATGTGATTGAATAGTGATCGAGATCGTGTGATATTAAATTTTATCCAATCAAGTGCAACTCTATGAAAAGGAAGATATGATACGTAGTCGCGACTAGGGATGGGCAAAAGTAATTTATTAAGTACAGCAATACTTATTTTTTATTGATTAATTAATAACGATAATATTATGTAATATTATGTCACATGATGATAACAGTAAGAAATTATTAATTAAAGCTGAGATTTAAATTTTGTTGCAAAAATAGAATGACTTAGGGAAGTGCCGTTTATTACGTAATTTCTTTTTATTAGAAGACCAGACCCCCTCCCCCCTGAGTGATCCAACTATCAGCCAGTCAATTTTTATATATAATATTTTAGACGTGATAGACTGCCAACCCCCTCTCCCCCTACCCAAAATTACGTAACTTCCCTTATTATTACCTCATAGAATTTGCCCATCTCTAGTCGCGGTTAGAGATGTCACCCAATAATATAGTAATACGTAGGAGTTTAATTAATGTTAATTTTTCATAATGATAACTATTAAAATTAACAAGCGTCAATTTTTTATATTTATTTATTTGCATGTTTTTATATAATATGCTGATTATATTATTGTTCTATAGCTTCTAAAGCTTCTTTTACAATATCGTCACGACTGTATGACCTTCCATGATTTGTGGCCAACACCGTCCAAAATATACACAAGTTGCGTTATAATGTCCAAATTTATCAGTTGCTTAACCCTTTGTAAAATGTTGCCATACTGCAGCTTTTGGACGTCCACTTTTCCTTCAATATAATACTTGTTGATTATTCGTATTACTACTTTGTTAAAGGTTCCATAATAGACTCATCCATTTAATAATTTAAACGCTTTTGAAAAAAAAAGACATCAATTTATTTTATTTATTACTGGAATAATAATAATAATAATAATTAAAAAGAAGTAATCAGTCATTATATTTTTAAAAGGCATTATTAAAATTATCGTTATATTAATTAAAAGCGTCATTATATTTTTTAAAAGCATCATTATATTAATTAGAAGCATTTCTTATATTTATTTTGATCAGAGATCATAGTAAAAATTTATCATCGGTATGCTTTTGGGATTTGGGACAATATTCGGGGATTTAGGATTCATTTGGGTTTTGGAAAAAGACCGAAACATCTCTAGTCGCGATGAAGAGCTCATTTGATTGGCTAATTATTTTCCACTA